CTTTTCCTTATTTTCTTTCATAGGCTTTAAACTTAAGTCCCTACTACAAATCTCCACTCCTATCTTTATATGTCTTTCTCCCCCTTAGTAGTTAACACCTAATGCCTAAGTCCGACGTCTAGAGAGCAACATAAAGCAGAACCTTTTCATAAGTACACATTTGAAAAATAAGATTAATACCTTGAGGACCAGAGACAAAGCACTTAAATACTACAGTCTTATCACCCTAATTTATCACACTTCTTCAAACCCCAAAGAAAAAAAACCCAAACACATAACAATACCATTCCTCAGTATTTAAGACGCTATTATAAGACTCTGATTTCTCCCACATTTCCCCAAACTAGCATTCATACCTTTTACCGTATATAATATCAATTCATTCAAAGCACACTTACATCCTATATCAATTTATTCCCTTTTACCCAAATATCCTATTCAATCATTTCATTTCCAACAAAAATCAAATACACACATAACATCACCACACTTAATACTTTAAGACACCCTTATAAATCTCTGATTCAATCCTTGATAATTCTTCAGTGCAAACTATTTATCATATTTCAAAATCAATATTTTAAGAGCAACAACTACAAACATTAATTCATCCCCCTTATACTCACTACTATATTGATCCCCTAATCAAAATAATCCATTCCATTCTATTCAATTATCAAATCAATTCATTTCAAAACCAACAGAGACCAAACCCACGCATTAAATAAGCTTTCAAATATTTTGAATCGTCTTTTATAACTCTGCAACTTTTTCTTCTGTAGCACCCTTTCCAGATGATTTCTCCCTTTGTAAATGAGGCAAGTCACTTTTAATCTCTCCTGACCAGTTCTCCTCCATTCATTTTTCCAGCTTGTACTGTTCCTTTTTATCTTCCAACTAAATCTTCCCTCTCTCTTCCTTCTCCGTTTTTCTTTCTTGTTAGCAGTAAGCCTCGCTATTTTCTTTTTTATTGTTCCTCTCTTCAAATACCTCTTTTTGGGTGACTTTTCTTTCCCTCTTTTAGGCTCTTTAATTTCTTTATCCTGCGGGAGATTGGGATTCTCTCCCAGGCATTGCTTGCTTTGCTCCGTTTCCTCTCCACTCTCATTTTCCAACTGAGGGGTGTGGCGATTTGCGAACGCCCGTCTAACGCCCTCATCTATCCCCTCCTTCAAAATCTGCAAAAATTGTTCGATCGATAGTTCCATCATTAAGGTATCCTCATCCAACTTCTCCTCTACAGATGCCATCATCCCAGCTCACACCAAAGTCCTCTATTAGGCAACCAAGAGACCAAGGCAGCGTCGGGGTGAAACAACGGGGGGGGAACTCACTCCCCCACGCATGCGCACACTCCTTCCTTCTCCTTTTTTCAGCCGATTTTCCTTCTTCTTTCGGAGTACTTTCAAAGATATATACAGAAAGATGTATGTACTTACAGTTCCTTTGTTTTTCTGTTGCTGTTATTATAATCCTCTCAAGTTTTAAGGTAAAAAAAATGGGTGGCAGCGGCTAAGGGGAAACATGGAGACCATGATCCTCTCTTTATCCGCTCCAGCTTCGGGGCAAGAAGTGGTCACCCCCCCCGCGCGTTGCTGATCGGGGAGGGGCCACAACAGAGCCCCCTGCCCCAGCTCTCTCTCCGGGAGAGCTGGTTGAGTGCTCCCAAAACCTAGGAGCCCCAAATGAAGCAGCAAAGAGTCGGGCGTCTTCAGAGCGAACCGGAGACCGCCCGTTGCCGCGCCATGCCGACCGCCAGGCTCAGACTTTTTCAATAGCTGCCTCTGGGACACGCTTCCAGCTCCAGCTTTCCTGGCTTTCTCCACAGGAGGCTATTTTAGAGAGGTCTGGGGGGCAGCCAGAAACTGGACAAAGGGAGAACACCCTGTTGACGGGGAGGTGTTAAGGTGCTTTTAGATTGGTCTTTATAAAGGTTGTCTTAATGTTTGTAAAACTGTTGTTATACTGCTGTTACCAATTTAGGACCTGAGATGTACACAAGAAAAGTATATAAACATTTTAAATAAATGTGCAAAACTAGTGCCTCATCTTGACTAAGGTTGGTCAGTCATGCTGTCTAGAAAGTAACAGTTTCAGTTTGGGTAAGGGATGCCAGCCTCCAGGTGGGACCTGCAGATCCCCTGGAATTACAGCTCACCTCCAGATTACAGGGATCCGTTCCCTTGGAGATAATGGATGCTTTGGAGGGTGGACTCCATGGCATTGTACCCCACTGAGGTCCCTGTCCTCCCCAGGCTCCACCCCCAAATCTCCAGGAGTTTCCAAGCCTGGACTTGGCAACCTTACCCCCCATCCCCCACCAGTGCCCAGAGGGGACCTGGCAAGCCTAGTTTGGGTGGTCACATGATAACAATGTTTGTTTCTGGGTTATCTGGTCTAATACAGTAGGAGGTTCATTTTCTGGGCTTTCTTTCTTGCCTCCAAAAGATTCTGTTCCAGCCAGTCCAGAAGGCGATGAGAAGCCAGAAATGTGAATTAAGGAAAATACATATGGATGGAGAAAGAGGATGGTATGAATTTGGAAAGAAGAAGGCTAAAGGGACAACAGACAACACAGGAAATCTCAGTCTATACCTTCATTCTTTCATTTAAATTCAGAGTCGATTATACTAGTTTCTGTTGACTGATTTTAAGAGATAAAATCCAGTAACCAGCTTCCTCTCACCTTCTTCTCGGGCACAATCAAATCTACATTCATTAAACTAAATTAACTGAGTCTCCTGAGCTCTCCTTCTGCTTCAATAATGTCCCTTTGTTTCGTGCACATCTATATAAAGGCAGTGCAGGTCTGTCAACACACC